ACCGCCACGGGCTGGTCTTCGCTGGATTCTGCAGTGAAGAGGAGAAGCTCGAAGAGGAAGCGAGCGGAGGCGGCGGTTGCGCTGGTACCCGCCTTGGAGGCGCCCTGCTGTTGCTGGCTGCCACTGGAAACGTTGAGGTCATCTGCGGCGGCAGAGGAGGAAGTAGCGATGGTCGGCAGGTCCAGGGAGCGAATACTGGTGTCTAGCAGAGCGGCAAGGTCAAAGCTGGTGGAGGTGAAAAAGAGGGGAGCGCAATGCTGTACTAGGCGACTGCATAGACGGAAGAAGTCTTCCACCGTATGTGGTTGTTCGGCCAGTGCGTTGCCCAGGAGGGAGGCCAGTGTTGGTGGAGCGAGTGCCTGTCGGAGGTGAGTAAAGTAGAACCTTTAGTTTTAAACAGAATATAAAGGCTTACAGGTTTCTACTTCATATGCACGCGCGCGCGACAAAAAATAGAGCCTTCGGCAAAAAAGAGAAAATTGGGAAAAGTCAGGCTACGGACAATATGTCGTTTTCTTATTAATAGCAGTTAATAAATGCGTCCTTACTAATGCGAGTGATCATTAAATAATGAAATAATTGAGGTTTTATGATGGGTTTTTAGGTTGCAAGTCGTGCAATTCGATGTTTGGGTTTCCCTTATTCAGTTAAATGACAGTGCAGGAAAAGAAACCCTATATAAGATTAATAATTGCATTTCTTAATACAATGAATAAAAAAATAGCAATCATTCTACAGTGGGATAATAATAATAAAAAGCTTACACGAAGTAGCCCATCAGTGTACAGCACGGTGTCGCAAAGTGGCGCAATCGGTGGTAGCAGTTCAACTCAATTAAAACGCACCAGTTCAGTCTATAGTTTGGTCGTGACAGTGGCGGCGTCAACTCCTACAGGTCTTCGAACGAATAAGGAAACTACTTCATCGACTGCTCCATCGTTTAAAAGCCACTTAATTACTTATCCATTCCCGTCAGCATGCCGCGAATCAGTTTCAATTGCAAAGGAGCTTCGTCCCGGTGGTTGCAGCTTAAGTCTCACTGGAGTACTCAGAGGTGTTGCATGACAAAATACTCTTTCTAGCAAAAAATCGCTCTTTCAGCTAGGTAATATAGAAGCTTATCTTTAATCTTACGCTTTGAGGGCTACATTTTTCATTATCAAGTACTGAAGGAAGGATATATTTCTCTTGTAGCGGCCTGCTTCGATTCCGGCACTAGCTGCTACTGACTGGGTGCTCCTAACGTCCTCCACAAACTGAAGAGTCTTAGCCGATATCCTGTTGTCCGAATAGGCGGGTAAGCGAAACCATGAGGACATTCATAGAAAGGCTTCATTCCGTATCTTCACAATCAGCTGAATGCCATGGGTTCCCAAGTAAAGAGCAGCAGTTAGTGACATCCTGGTGAACGCGGCTAACTAATTCGTATTATCGAAGCTACGTTTCGCAAGAGGAGCGTTGCACAGGACGAGCTCGGTGCGGGAATGGATTAAACTCATTAACCGAGGTTCCACTGTACATTGCTGAAAAATTGTGTCCGGCGGAGGTAACCAATTATTTTCAGCAAACCTCACCGAAGGGTTGCAATCGTCACAAAAATTCTCGACGACTAATGTGCCAAAGACCCAACGGGTAATGATGCTGGTTTGCGTGCTTCAATTCCCTACAGGAATTCTGTTGTTTCAGGAGAGGAGAAAGCACACGACTTCGGTAGGAGCGTCGCAAAACTCTCATTATTTTGTAATCATCGACGTTTGGCTTGGGACATTGACTGCAGTAACACTTACTTTAATGATGAATCTGAAAGACCAACCGGATTAGATTCTTTTTGGACTGCTCGAGTCTTTTCAATGTGTATTGTGCTGTAAGTGGGGGCGGAATAAAATCTAATGTAATGAGCACCCTAGTCGCCTTCTGATGCAGGGAGCACGCAACGCCGTCGGTCAGAGCGACCGCATGCAGTACTGTGGCTGGGGAGGGTGTGTGGTCAGTTTGGATAAAGGGCGGTTTTGAAAATGTTTACGTTCCAGCATCTAGCAGGTAGGTTGCAACTTTGGTGAAGATGATAAATTCACATGCTTGGTCTTCTTCACTAGTCAAACTCACACTCAGGAAAACTATATAAGGCAACAAAGTAAGTAGGAGAGCTTGCGGAAGAGTATACATCCTGCCAGATCTACCGAGATGCTGTACTGAACGAAGACTGCAGTCTCTGACTTCCCTATTAAGCGTAAAAGTGCACCAGTTAGCGATAACAAGAGCCAGAGAGATTGTCCAACTTATCCAGACAAAAGAACCAACAAAATGAATTTTCTCTGCTTCACACGTCAGTGTTTCTCCAACCACTCTGCAGACATCCAGTGCCTAGACAAGTAAAAATACAGTTTCCTCCTGATGGACGGGAGAGGGGGGGGTTAATATCCACGTGAAAGCGGGTCACGAAGGGTAAAACGTTAATTATTAATGGCTCACCTCAAAAAGTCCAACAAGGCCAACCCGACAATCTGGAAGGTCCCCGAACACGTCCACTAGAACCCCGGAGAGGT